GCTCACATAGCTATGTGACCAGTCCAGAACTCCAAACTCCAGGACTTGAGTGAGCTTCCCTGGTTGGAGATATATCACATGTATCTTTTAGTTCACAGCTACAGAGGAAACCACATCTGTATGCCTTTCAAAGAGACATGGAGGTCTTAGAAGTCTGTGTGTGACTTAACCATTGCCTGTTGTTTTGTGGTTGTTTTTATTGTTCCTGCACTTGACTCACTGCTGTAATAATACAGAGGCATGAGTATAACTTTATGTTATGAGTCCTTTCAGCAAAGTACCAAACTAGCTAATGCCTCATAAGGCCTCCTGAAAGAGATTGTAATTTTTCATCTCATCAAGTTTGATTTAGTTCTTCTTAACATCTTCCATTTCTCTCATTATGTTTATGTTTCCATTTAAATATTTGTACATAGTTTTAATAATGGCTTTAACATCCTTGTTCATTTCATCATATCTGTCACTTCTAGGTCTGTTTCTACTCACTGATTTTTCTTCTGGCTATGGGTCACATTTTTCTGCTTCTAAGTATGTGCGTTAATTTTTTTAACCAAATATTGGACATTATGGTTGTCATATTGTTGAATGTTTTGTTGTCTTCTTTTAAAGAGTGTTACGCTTTCTCTTGCAGGTTACTTTTGAATCATTTTGGTTCCATCAAGGCCTATTTTTCAATTTTATCTAGGACAGATAGCCTTCACTCCAGAAAAACCCTACTATTAAGACATGACCCCTTATGAGGCCTCCACAAAATGCCTGAAGGGATCATTGAAGAATCCTCTGTGGTGGTCAGAGCTTGAACTTTTCTAGACTTTCTGAGACCTCCAGTAATTACTCAACTTACAACTTCCTGTCACTTTTTGATCAACCTTCTAGGACTTCATTCTAAGGATGTGTGGTTAAGTCCTTAGCAAAGACTCAAGGGGACCCTTTTGTTGCAGATTTCTGGAGCTCTTTTCTCCACAGCTCCCACCTGTGTCTCACCTACAACTTTCAGCTGCTGAACCTCCCTAAACTCTGATGTCCACCATAACTCCTGAAGGCCATCAGGCTGTCTGGGTTCTTCCTTTGTTTCATGAAGAAAGTTGAGGCAACCGTAGGGATCACCTTATTCATTTCCCTTCTCTCTGGGATCACAGTCTTGCAGTTTGTTGTTCCATGCCTGGGTGCAGTCATTTCATATCTCCTCCAGTTTGTTTATGGAGGAAAAGTGAGTATAGTCACTGTAATTCCAGTATGGCTGGAAACAAGTGTCAACAAATATTTAATAATCTTTTGCAATAAAAGCCTAACAGGTCTCTGTCATTCCCTGCTTAGAAGCACTGGATGGTTCTCCACTGGAAAATAAAATCAACAACTTAACAAGTGTACTATTACTCAAAAACAGATGAAGCATGCCAAACCATGTTGTATAACAAATTAAGTTCAAAATCTTTTAACACTAGCTCATTCAGATCCACGTTTTGAGACTACAGTAACAAACTCAATATGGCCTCATATACCCCCAATTCTAAAAATAAGACTGACACACCATTCCAGTAACTAGTTTTCAAATTCTGACCAACGGCTGCCAAGACCCACTTACTAATCTCTGTCTTATAACTACCCTCTGACTAACCCTAACCTCACTAAGTACCCTCTCCTAACTCCCATTTGCAATGATACTGAATCTTCACTCTGTCAAGGTCAAGCTCTTCCTTGCTAAGCTTAATAAACACAGCTTTGTTTGATGAACAAGTTTACCTAGTAATCTTTGTTGCAAGCTTTGACAAAGATGCTTTAAAGAAGTTTAGCAGGAACCTGTCACAGCCACAGCTCAGGACCACCAATTCAGAGGGCACTCCAGTAGATCCCATGGACTTCCCTGCTTGGGGTCTCCTTGTTTGCAATTATGAAGTAAGTTCAGTGTTAATTCTATGCTCTAATCCTCCCTACCTTTTTTTTTTCTGAATTTTAGAATCCACATGAGGTTTCTCTCATCTGTCCTTGGAAGAAAGTCCCCCAAGACATTTTATTTACCTGATTAGATCTGTACAGGTTTTAGTTTTCCTTGGTGAATATATTAGCTACACATATTGTTGTGGAACAAATTACTCTGAAAATTAGCAGCTTAAATTGCAAATATTTATTCTCTCACAGTTTCTAAGGGTCAGGAATCTGGAATGGCCAACTGAATAGTTCTGGTTCAAAGTCTCTCAAAAGGTTACTGTCAATCTGCTGGCTCAGGGATGGCTTGCCTGGAGTAATATTCATTCCAAGCTCATTCACGCAGACATTGGCAGACCTCAGTTTCTTCCTGACTGTTGGTTAGAGACTTCAGTTCTTCACCATATGGACTTCTCCATGGTTATCCTGAGTGTCATCAAAACATGACAGCTGCCTTCTCCCAAAACAAGTGACCTGAGAGAGTGCATGAGGGTGACCAAAACTTAAACTGCAATCTCTTCATGACCTAATCTTGGCAGGGACTTACCATCACTTCTGCCATATGCTACTGGCCACACAGACCACCCCTGGTGTAACAAGGTAGGGACTACACAAAGGTGTGATTTCCCATTGGTAGAGATCCAACCTGGGAGCCATCTGGGAAGTCGCCTTCCATAGTGAAAGTCTGCAAGAGCAGCAATTTGTTCACTTTCCTCCTGTATGCCTGCCTACTGGCTGTACTGTTGAGTGTCTGCAAGAGATTTCCTTAGTGGGACCCTAGTTATCATCATAGGAGCCAAGATTCTCCAACCAGTGTGCTACATTAACAACTTAATAAATGTTGGTCAATTCTTATTAAGTCTGTGAGACAGGCAATACTGTCCATACTTAATACATGAAGAACAGAAAAAGTTAAGCAATTTATTCTATCACAGATCTAGTAAGTCACGAGACCAGGCATTCCCAAGTTTATCATTCTTCAAGACCTAGGAGCTTCCTATAGCTCCCTGATTCCTGTGAAGTAGCTCCTGGTTCTACCAACTCTTCAGCTTATTCTCCCACTAACCTCTCACTTCCCTCACACCAACTCCTCCCTCTATACTTTCCATCATGCTATATGGAGTCTACGGTCTTTGGGTTTCTAGTTAGTCCCACAGTTGAAATCCTCTTGCCCGTGCCTGTATGATACTAGCCTTTTGAAATTTCTTAAGCCTAGCCTTTATGGCCTAGCACAAGGCAAATTCCATAAATATTGCATGCATGCTTGAAATGAGTATGTTTTCATATTGGGTGTAATCTTTATGAGTTGAGTTTATTAATTCCGCTATTCAAAAATATACCTTTATTGATTTTTTTGTGTTTGACCTAATAAATTACTGAAATATGTATAATGGAGGGTATCAATTTTTCCTTCCAGATCTATATACATCTTTATGTTATTAGATGCATACTAGTTTTATCTTCCAGGTAAAATTCCTCTCACCAATATATAGGTACCATATTTATGCCAGGAGAGGGAAAAAAGTAGAAGAGGAAGAGACAAAAAGAGGAAAATAAAAGGGTGAGAGGAAGCCAACACAGATGGGTTTGTATGTAAGCATCCTCCCTTCCTTGGGAAAGAAAAATAATGAGCCATTCCAATGGTCTGTAACCTGGACAGTAGTTACAAATGCTTAAGACGGATTGCTTCTTTCCACCCACATCAGTGAGAAGACAAGCTTCTCTGCTGCCTCTTTCTGTGAGGCAGTCTGTTTTCCATTCAAGTTTCCACTGGGGTACAGTCCATTGGGCTTCCAGCTTTACACAAAGGTTTCCTATTAGAAATTCCATCTGTGCAAGCCTAAGATTTCATTTATTTGCCCCCTTCTCAGTGCAAAGTAGGAGCTGAAGGCTTCCAGCGTTCTTGGTTTTGCTTCATTTGGGATTCTGAAAAAGCTGGCTCTGTGTGTATGTGGCACTAAGCAATATAACAACAAAATTATTAAAAATATATTGCATCAAGTATTTAAATCAAATCTGTTGAAAGCATTATTCACACCCTCTCCACATTGCTTCTAATCTTTAAAATCCTTTTACCCCCTGCAATTCAGCTCAAATATGGCGACTTTCATTAAACTCTGTTCAATTACCCTACCCCTGCCCCACAGCCAATAGAAATTAATAACATCTCCCTCTGCTTCCTGCTACACTGTTTCTGCCACATGGATAGCAATTACCACACCATACCTTACCTTTTAGACACATTTGTAATTTTTTCTCCCAACAAAAGCCATTCCCATAACTAGGTCCTACATCAGTTTTCTCTGGGTTCCCAGTCCCACTCCCCCGCTGCTCCACTCCCTGCCTCCAGAGTTTAGCAAAATGCTTATCTACAAACAGTGTCCCTAACTGTTGGCTTAACATTTGTCTTTTAAGACAAATGGCTAGAAATTCCGACTCCAGCCTATCCAATTTTAAGCTAAACAGCTAGTGTGGCTCATAAGAACAAGTGGCCTAAAAGAGTCTTGTATTGGCTACTGTGTTGCATAATCAAGAAAATAGAGGTTTTCCATAAGTACCTTGGATAGGCTTCCATCTTCAAGGACCTCTGAGATGCTGACATGTTTGTAAATTCCAGTGCAACTACTTAATATTACTTATATTCATTTATGGAACTTGACCATTATTAAATAGGCTGTGATGGAATTATTTCACAGTTTTAAATTAGATTTCACATAATATAGTATTAAAAACTTTTGGAAATATTATTAAGATCAATGTGAAACAGAAATTCAAGTACTTTTATCTTATATGAGATATTTTGCTCAGTGTGGAGATATTAATTAGGGGAGAATAGCTTCGAGGTTATCACCACCAAGTAATAAGTGTGAGGGTGAAGCATGAGTCAGGGTTTTGACAGTAGGTTAAATGTGACTCAAAAAAGAAAAGAGATGACTAACCCTACACAATGTGTACAGCTTCCTCCTAATGCAGACGGTCCTCTAAACACAGCTACCCAAATGCAGCCCACATGTTCACCAGCGAGCATGTGTGACGTCTAGGCCCACATGCTAGAAAACCACCACTTTATACAGTTTCATAACTGAAAATATATTTTAATAGAAACAACAAAGCACAGGGGATAACCGGCGACCAGAAAAGCTAACTTAGGTGAATGGTGCCACTCAACGGTCTTTCCAAGGAAAGCTCAGTCCTCGCTTGCGAGAATCAGCCTTGGCTCACCTCATAACGGGGCTGCGAGCTAAGGCATCAAGGAAGCAGTCCCACTGCTTCTCGCAGTCAGTGAGGCCACAAGGCAGATGCCTGCTGCTGTCCTGTCTCCTTGTCTACTTTCTCATCTCAGTGTCATAAGAGAGCCCTGTACTGGTCCCTGAGTAACAGAGCAGCTGTCATGAGCACAGGCTCATTTTATCTGAGAACATTCTTATCTTTGAGAGAAATGAGAATGACAAAGAAAACTAAACAGCAGCAGGCCTAGCCTCAGCAGCCTTTCTGAGTGATGTCTAGTCCTGAGGATTTTGTGATTTCCAAAGTTGTGAACACCTGTTCAAGAAGAAGAAAACACATACATATTTAGAAGTTAGCACTGCTTTAAGAAAACACATTCTGAATATTACATTTATGCGATTCTTTAAAATATACAAATCTGGCCAGGCACGGTGGCTCATGCCTATAATCCCATCACTTTGAGAGGCCGAGATGGGCGGATCACTTGAGTTCAGGAGTTTGAGACCAGCCTGGCCTACATGGTGAAACCCCGTCTCTACTAAAAATACAAAAATTAGCCAGGCATGGTGGTGCACACCTGCAGTCCCAGCTTCTCAGGAGGCTGAGGCAGGAAAATCACTTGAACCCGGGAGGTGGAAGCTGCAGTGAGCCAAGATCATACCACTGCACTCCAGCCTGGGTAACAGAGACCCTGTTTCAAAAAAGTAAAATAAAATAAATTAAAAATAAAATATACAAATCAGTTACTAATATGACATCTTTCTGACAAGTGCTTTATAATAGTTTTTCAAACTATATCAACTGAAGCCAATTTTGAAAACATCTTGTTTCCTACCTCCCCACATGTGGGGTGAATTCCAATGGTGTCATCAAGTAGCTGTTTTGTGAGACCGCATTTCATTGCAGCTGCAAAGCCTTGGGTAACCTCACCGGCATTTGGTCCAAGAATATGAAACCCTATCACCCGATCCTTTAATACAAAAACAAAACAAAGAGAATCCTGGTAGGTTAATGGTCTGAATACGAATCCATTCACTGCAAGTTCACAGTTAAAATATACAGTGTCTACTACAGAAAAAGAACTTCAATGTCAAGTGAGCAGAGAACATTACCATGAAACTGTGAGCCACTGTAAGAATCTGTTAAATGAGCCAGTAAATGCACATCCAGAGTTAATTTGCACTCAAATTTACTAGAACAAGCAATTTACCCACTGCATGAAGGAGTTCATTAGTATGACGTAAATTTCCAAATTATGCTGAGACAATGCTCAACAACATAACAAATCTGAATTAAAGTCCAACACTGGAGTAACTCTTAGGCAGCAGGTTTTACTGGAAATCAGAGGTTACTGGCCCAGGAAGCAAGGTACCCTGCTCCCAACATCAAGTGGAGACAGAGGAGAGGCTAGTGCAGGGCTGTCACCCATTACTGTGTGCTGAGAGATACAGGGTGTAGGCAATGAGCAGACCCACCAAGATGGGAAGCAAGATGTGCAGTTGCTTTCCACGGTAATAGTGCATTCTAGGCTGTCCATTTGTTCCTTTCTCAGACTATCCTTCATTGTATCCTTCAACAGTAAAAGTATACAAGAGATGAAGAGAAACACTACAAAAGGGCAACAGAGGCCAAGGTCAGGAAAAATCCTTGCCCACTGAGCTTCTGGAGGAGGCAACAGCTCAGAGCAGCCACACTCATCTGCATCTGCTGGCAGGCACTCCAGAGGGGAGGCAGGCAGAGGCTGCCTGGGCTGGGGTTTACTGAGTGACTTCCCAGGGCCCACAGAAGACTACTGCATTGAAACCTGAGGTGGTGCATTGCTCAGCAAGCAGAAAAGGAGGGTGGCTCAGAGCAAAGTAAGGACACTTGATGAGAATTTCCACTGATAACTGAAAATGAAGGTCCTGAGTGAAGGAAGTCTCATTTACAATTCTGACCCTAGAACTAGAGTCTAGCATTTCCGTTTTGTAAGTTTGAGGGTGCTACTCAAGAAACGGGCATGTGGCCAGGGTAAAGGGAAGGGGCACGTTTCCCATGGTTAGAGAGCAAGGCCAAGAGTGTGGCCTGGGGACCTGGGTGGGGTGCTGAGGGGTAGTGTGGGATAGCGCAGAAGGCTCAGCGATGGGAAATGGGGCTGACAGCCACAGAGGTGCAGCCCACAACCCCATGAGGAGGTCAGAACTAGCATGACAGCTGCAACTCCTGCTACAGCTGTGGCTCTCCCATCAAAGCCCACCCTCTCGCTTTCAGAGGGTAACATTGTATACAGTCTTTCTCTGCTCCCTTTGGAAAGGCTGCCCAAACTGCCATAAATTGACCTCAGATAACTCTGTCCCAAAGAAACAGGATGTAGTCCAGCACATGAACACCCACCCTCAGGAGCACAGCTGCAAACCTGCCCAACCTGGCGCATTTCGGGGCTATTATGACCACCATCCCTGTCACTGCCCTGTAGCCCATATGCAACTACTAAGGGACTAAGCCCTAGGGCTTTGGATGGCTTCACCATTCAGGCAACAGAGCACATGCTAATGGGCTACTAGCCTGGGACACCCTGTTTTCTGTTATACTGAGAATAAGACAAATACAGAGATGTGGTAATTAAACAAGATCATGACTGCTGTTCAGTAAACTTTTATGTAAATGCCACTTGTTGCTGTTCACATTTATCTATTTTTATGTTTCATCTCCCCAGACAGATGATAAACTCTTCAAGAGAAGAACCAAGTCTGAACACTGCTTTCTACATTCAGAATTCTTTATAAAGCAAATTATAAATAAGCTGTGCTTTAAACTACACTACTGAGGAAGGCTGTTAACCATTTTGATGCTAACCCCTTGTAACCAGGAGGAAAGCCTCTGATGATGGGCTGCTGCTTTAGTGAAAGCATCAGCAATTAGCTCAGTTAAGCCGAGTTTCACTTTGCGTGAACATCTCCATCTAAAGACTTTAGACACACATTCAGTCTGTTTATAAAATGCACATAAACAACTTACAATTTATTATTTGATGACCAAAATTTTCACAGATCTTCTAGTTCTAAACTATCAAGTTTAAACTATCAAGCTATCAAGATGGCCCTGGGAAAAGGCAGCTTTCAGTGGTATGCTTTGAGAGGACACTGGTAAGGCTCAATTACAAACTGTCACTGCTGAGCCTCTGTGACATGTTAACTAGATGACAACATGGAGGCACTCTGCATTGTCCTGAAAACTATCTTTAGAAAGATTATAAAAATGTAGCAGTCCCAGCTGCTCAGGAGGCTGAAGCAGGAGGATCACTTGAGGCCAGGAGTTGGAGACCAGCCTGGGCAACATGGCAAGATCCTGTCTACACACACACACACACACACACACACAAAATATATATATATATTTTAGTATTTGGATTTATATATATATAATTTATATGTATACAAATCCAAATACAGTACTAAAAATAAAAGCTACATTTAAAAATCACAGCATTTTGGCTTCTGGTGGCATTACATACATGGTCGAATTTATTGCAGATTATCTTTGCGTAACAAGTGTTGTTCTCTCTGCCAGCTACTGTCCATTCAAGAGGCCAGAACAAAGTATGATATATCTGGAAGATGAGAGAGAGAAAAAGGGCAGGATTAATGTATATGGAATCCATTCCTTGATAGGCTCTTTAATTCTATAAAGGCAATAATCTCCATAGCAGCTTTCATAAATTTAAAGTTCAGTAACCCCACCTTTACATCTGTTGGGGCACCTAGGCCAAGGCTCCTGAAATGCCAGCTGCATACATGTGTTGACCTTTGTTTTGCATGCTTGGCTGTTAGTCCAAACAAAAATCCACATACAAAATTCAGTTTTCAAACATGTATAGAGTATCAGCAACCCAAGGCAGCACACTAGGCACAGGCCCTTGTGTGGGCTGCAGAGGTGAAGGCTGCAGAGGCGAAGGCTGAGATCCTGACATCAACAGCTGACCCCGATAACAGGGGCTCACATTCCAGCAAATTTGAGGAGGAGTGGAAGTAAAATAACTTTGAGCTTCCTTGTATAAGTTTGTTCAAATAGATTTTTGTTACTTGTAATTCAAATGTCCTGACTTATAGACTATACTTCCCTCTTTCTCAACCATATTGTTCTTGTTTGCTAGACAGGGTTTAAATTAATTGCTAATTTTCCTAAAATAGGAATATGATTTCCTGCAATATAACCATCATAGTAACTTGCAAAATGATGAAATAAAAAGTGACTGCAAAGACAAATTGTTGATTAGAGAGAATTTTTTAAGGAAGTAATAAAACACAATCTTACTTCTAGATTCTCTTTTTTATATACTTCAATAGCCTTCTCTTCAGATAATCCACAGCAACCATACTCCAGAGGAGTAAACACCGTAGTTGGAACATTAATATAATCACACTGAAAAATAAATAAATTACATAATCTTATTTTGTGATACTTTACAGCAAAAATCTATATTACATATATTTATAAAAAGAAAATAAATGAGTCCAGTTCAGTGTAACTAATTCTTAAAATGCCAACTGCTTCAGGAAAATTCTAAGGTACATTAACAGAGACCTGGGATGGGTCCCTGCTTCAGGGGCAGAGACCACACACTGGCCAGCCACCAACAGATGGGATCGGCTCTCCTGGAGAACAGACTCGGAGGTCCAAAAACCCGAAGGTAGTAGTGGAGGTGGTGCCAGCCAGCTGCCCCTAAAGACACTCTCCAAAATGTTTTCTTTCCATGCCCATCATTCTGAGCTCTGCTCTCTTGGAGCACTTCTTCCAGGCAACCTTGAATTATGCTACTTCACTGGAAACTGAGACTACCTCTTGGCCATTTCATATTCCTTATGCCACTGAGAGGCAAGGCAAGTAGGCAGCTCAACAGTGCTGAACTGGGTGTTCTTGACTATCAAACGGGGATGGCACATGTGAGTGTGTGAATATGTCTGGGGGAGTGCTAGTATACCACTGGGACAAGGATGACCACAGGTCATTTCTGCAGTCCAGGGGTTAAGACAGAATCATCTCCAGAGCCTTTATCAGACTGAGTCAGAGAAGAATGGTCATTGCAAGAAGACTGTGCACTCCGAAGCTAGCAAGCAGAGCCCCAGCAGCCCCGCAGAGAAGCGAGGTTCACAGGTGGCACTCCTGCCTAGGAGAGGCCCCAACTTGGGAGACAACAGGGCCTCTCTGGCTCTGTGGAAAGGAGCTGGAATACTTTGTTGGTTGAACCATAAACCATGTGCATGGAGAGAAAGCTGTGTGTAGGTGGCAGAGGTACCTGCCCAGGCACAGCCCCTTCAAAGGACACCACAACCCATAGCACTGTATGTTCCCCAACCCCTGCCAATGGCCACAAGTGATTAGACTAGGGATAGCCATCTGACCCCACAAACACCAATACATAAGCTGGCCAGAAATCTACAGAATGGCAGAAAAAGGTGAACTGAGTCAATCCAATTCTTTCTTTTGTAGGAAAATTAACTAGAAGCAAAGAGAATTTTCCAGGTGGTAGAGGAACAGGAAGAAATGGACCTGCAAAGTTGTCACCAAGTTAGGCCAAGGAGGAGCACATCTGTACAAACACCCCGCTATGCTGCTGGGCCCCAGAGCAGCTAGAACTCCATCTCCAAATGCAGGCAGGCCCAGCCCTAGTAGAGTTCTTTTTCTAGGTTCCTCTGTGATTCTCCCTATTAATCCCAGGATTCTTACAGTAACCTCCCTCAATTTGCCTAGTTTGAATGAGCTTCTATACTTTGTTACCCCAAAGAAAAATAAAACACCACCAGGTATCCCCCAAATCAATCAGAGGATTTACATACAACACAGGCAAGTTCTCCATTAGCCTAGATTCTTATGCTCTCTTGACACTTCATGTTTGCCTACTGGCAAATGATGGGTAAGCAGCATTCATTTTCTTTCCCCAGCATGGCTGAGAAAATCACACAACTATGTGAACTGCCTGGGTATTTTCTGACTTCTGTGAGGCACTCACATGTTGCCAATCCATTTACTGACTGGCAGCTGACCCTAGATTCCATAGCTTACATGGGAGTCCTCATTCTTAACAGAAGCCTTTGTTTCCTGTTTCACATCAATTAAGAAATAATAAACGGAAATGGCTCAACTTTGCCCCTTTCTCCTAAAAACCTTCCCCACATCTTAGACCATCTCCTCTACCTGGACTTGACTCATGCTACCCTTCCCATAGGCTTCCTTTCAGTCTTGTGCCTTTCATCTCTTTCTTTATGCTCTACATATATTGTTCCATATTCTAATCCCTCCTCCTCACAGACACCACAATTAACTTCTTACAGTATCAGGCAGCTGCTCAGCCAACATACGCCCTAAAATGCTATTTGCACTCGAGATAAGTCCTTGCACATTTAGCATTCCTGGCCTCCACCATTAATGCCAGCAGAGCTCCCTCCCTAGTCAACCCTCATGCACCAAATGCACCCACCCACAAGGTCTCCATGCAGGGCCTTGGCAGGTACCTGGGGGATGAAGCAAAGCAGCACATAGCATTCCTCATGAAGAATCCATGCCCAAAGCTCTTCACCTGAACACACTCATGCAAAACAATTGGAGAAATTCAGAATGTGGGATATTATACCAAAAAAAAAAAAAAAAAAAACAAACCCTGGATTCATCAAAAAGTCAGCGTTAAGAACTGGAGTAAGACAAAGATGCTCACTCTCACCAATCTTATTCAACACAGTACTAGAAGTCCTAGCTAGAGTAGTCAGGATGAGAAAGAAATGAAGGGCATCCAAACTGGGAAAACAGGAAGAGAAATTGTCCCTCTTTGCAGACAATGTGATTTCATATGTAGAAAAACCTACGAGATTCCACCAAAAACTCTTAGAACTGATAAATGAACTCAGTAAAGTTGCAGGATACAAAAATCAACAAACAAAAATCAGTAGTGTTTCTATATACCAATAACAAATTAACTGAAAAAGAAATCAATAAAGCAATTTCATTTACAATAGCTACAAAAAATAAAATATTTAGGAATAAATTTAATCAAGTAGGTGGAACCACTTTACAATGAAAACTGCAAAACACTGGTGAAAGAAACTGAAAAAGAAAAATATAGAAAGATATTCCATGCTCATGGATTAGAAGAATTAATATTGTTAAAATGACTATACTACCCAAAGCAATCTACAGATTCAATGCAATCTCTATTAAAATAACAATGACATTCTTCACAGTAGTAGGAAAAACAATATTAAAATTTGTATGAAACCACAAAAGATGCTGAATAGCCAAAATAATACTGAACAAAAAGAATCAAGCTGGAGGCATCATACTACCTGATTTTAAAATATACTACAAGTTATAGTACCCAAAACAGCATAATATCAACATGGAAACAGACACATAGACTATGGAACAGAACACAGAACCCAGAAATAAAACCACATATTTACAGCCAACTAATTTTTGACAAAGGCACCAAGAACATAAACTGGAGAAAGGACACTCTTCTGTAAATGGTGGTGGGAAAACAGTATATGTAGAAGAATGAAACTGGACCTCTATATCTCACCACGTGAAAAAATCAATTCAAAATGAATTAAAGACTTAAATATAAGGTCCCAAATTATAAAACTACCGGAAGAAAACAGGAGGAATGCTTCTGGGCATTGGTCTAGGCATAGATTTTATAGGCAAGACCTCAAAAACACAGGCAACAAAATGAAAACAGACAAATGAGATTGTATCCAACTAAAAAGCTTCTGCAATCAGCAAAGAAAGAAATCAACAGAGTGGAGACAACCTGTAAAATGGGAGAAAATATTTGTAAACTATCTATTCGAGAAGTTACTAATATACCTATATAAGGAACTCAAACAACTCAGAGGAAAAAAAAAGAATAGCCTGGTTTAAAAATGGGCAAAGGATCTGAATAGATGTTTTTCACAAGATATACACATAGACAACAAGTATACGAAAAAATGCTCAGTATCACTAATCATCAGGAAAATGTAAATCAAAGCCACAATGAGATACCATAACCCGGTCAGAATGGCTATTATCAAAAAGACAAAAAATAGCAAATGCTGGTGAGGATGTGGAAAATGGGGAACTCTTACATACTGTTAGTGAGAATGGAAGCCAGCATAGCCACTATGGAACACAGTATGGAGGGTCTCCAAAACTAAAAATAGAAGCACCATATGATCCAGCAATCCCAGTACTGAGTATTTATCCAAAGGAAAGAATCAGTGTATCAAAAAGATATCTGCACACCCATATATTGCAGCACTATTCAAAATAGGCAAAATATGGACCCAACCTAAGCATCCATAATGGATGAATGGGTAAAGAAAACATAATATATAAACGCAATGAAATACTATTCAGCCATAAAGAAGAATGAAATCTAATCATTCAGAGCAACATGAATGAGCCTGGAAGATATTATATTAAGTGAAATAAGCTGGGCACAGAAAGATAAATACTGCATGTTCTCACTCATATCCGGGAGCTAAAAAAGTTGATCTTATGGAAGTAGAAAGAAGAATTGTGGTTATTAGAGGCTGGGAAGGGCAGGGTAAAGGGGAGGATGGGGAGAGGTTGGTTAATGGACACAAAATTACAGCTAAACAGGAGTTAAGTGCCAGTGCTTTATAGCACTGTAGGGTGAACATAATTAACAAGAATACATCGCATATTTCCAAAAAGCTAGAAGAAAGGGTATAACAGAATGTTCCCACACAAATAAATGATAAGTTTGAGGTAACAGATATGCTAACTACCCTGATTTGATCATTACATGATGTATAAGTGTACCAAAACATCACTCTGTATCCCATAAATATGTACAAACATTATGTGTCAACTAAAAATAATAGGAAAAAAGTCAGTGTCATAAAAAATAAACAAAGGCAGGAGGACTGTATCAGATTGAGACTTAAGCATCATAAGAGCCAAATGTACTGTGCAAATCAAAACACACAAACACACACACACACTCTTAAGGAATAACTTAGGAAATCGAGTATTATAGTATTTTTGTTGAACTTCTCGGATATGGCAATAGAACTGTAGTTATGGAGGTAAACATCCTTGTACTTAGGAGATATATGCTGAAGTACTTAGGGACAAATGTCATTGATGTCTGCCACTTCAAAAAGTGGCAGCAAAAAGCTCGGCAAAAGAAAAAAGGAATATGAACTACACATATACATATTCAGAAAAGGAGAGACAAAGCAAAAACAGCAGATGTGAATAATTGGAGAATCTGGGTGACAGGTTCAATACGGGTTATTGTTTACCACGGTTTCTGTGTTTTGACACCTTTCTAAATAAAAAAGTTGGGGGAAATAAAGGTCTTGCCAGATCCCTACTGCCTAGAGAAGGCCCTATCAATTCTTTTTTGGGGCAAAGATTTTTGATGATCTGGCACCAAATTAGTTTTCCAGCCCCTTCCCAATTGTACTCCCCTATCGCCAACTACTTTGCCCACACACATGCCAAAATGCTCTATGCACTGTGTTTGGGACAATTTTTCTTTGCATGAGATGGTACACTCAGCGTTCCTGACCCCACCCATTAATGTAGCAGGCAGGGCCCTTCCCCAGTCACCCATCTCCCACCAACTCCACCACATGGCCACAGAGCTCCTGATGGAGCTGAGCAGTACTTTCCCAGCTGAGAGCTCCTGGGACACTACTCATAGTCCTTAGCACAAGCCAAGTGCTACAGGACTCTGTGTTCTTAGCTGAGTTAACTGCTCACCTGAAAAGTCCTTTGCTTCCTCAATTTTGAATTACTCATCCTATAAAGCCCATCCCAAATATTTGATTTAAAAATATGAAAAGTGGAAATTCTCTGTAGAAATCATCTGATTCACATCCTTGGCTTTGCAGATGATGAAACTAAGGTCCTCAAAAGTTAAACAACCTGACCATGTTTATAGGCCAAGTGGGCACTGAAGCCAGGACCAGAATCCTGACTTATGTCAAGAACTCCTATGCTATTATAGTGCAACAGTCTACTTATGAAGGCTTTCTGCCTCCCTGCAGCTAGAATGAACCCCTTCAGTGTACCTAGAGCAATCTGCTGACAGCACTCTGGCACACAACCATACTCTGTCTTCTGCTCAGTCTGTGCCTGCCTGACTCATGACCCCACCTACCTGGTAAGCCCCTGGGGCTAACCATGGCCTGTGCTTTGTGTATCACCCAGCGCAACATCTTGTACACAGTGGACACTCAGAAGTATTTATTTTAATCCATTAGTAAATAGTCTACTGCAAATCATACCCCTGAGGAACTCTTTACTTGGAAAACAAGCACACAAGTTTTACTTGCATTAGTTTTTAAAATTATGATCTTGATCAAGATATTATCTCAAAAACAGTAAGAAACTTACCTTTTCTAAAGAGGCCCCAAAAAGTCTCCGAGCTAGCAGCTTGCCTGACTGTATGGCGACAGGAGTGAGCTCTGGCTTACCCTCCAAAATATCCCCAACAGCATAGACATATGGAACACTGGTCTGTTCCACATCATTTACAGGTATTTTTCCACTTCTGGTAGTTTTTGAAAAGGGGAAAAAACAGATTACAACTCACTCAACACTGCTGGCTGACTAATACTATTAGCCAAAAGACTAAGACTAAATACATAGAGAAAAGACCTCTCTTAGAACTCATGCACCTCACCATATCAATTATCTATAAGATCAATGACTTAAAGTAACAAGGGTTTCTGTAGCTCCAAAAGAAAACATCTCTGGGGAAGCCGCAGACATTTCCTGAATGCCTAGGATATCTGCAGACTGTCTCCACAGTCTCACTTAGAGCTTTGGAATTTATCTTTTTGCCTGACCAAGGTCATAAAGATGTGCTCTAAATCACAGACATTAGATGAATATATCTCTGCATTTATTTCTTAACGTCATTGTTTAATACATGAGCTTTTTAAGGCATGCAATAAGAATTACTCACTGATGAAGAAATTGATTATAAAGAGCTGGCACAGAACTTATCATAAGATAAATTTAAAAAATATTTCTTAGAGGTGATCTGCAGAAACCTGTTGCTTTGTGCAGAAACCTGTTGCTTTGTGCAGCAACAGTCCAATGATCCCAATACACTTACTTCTCATTAATTTTGACACCAATCTTCTCCAACCCTATTTTCCTTGTACAGGAGTCACGACCAATAGCTAACAAAACCTGCATTTGGAGAGAAATCAAAAACACAAATTATCCATATCAGGAATGAAAGAGGGAACATCACTATAGATCTTTTATACATTAAAAGGGTAATAATGGAATATTGCAAACAATCAATGCCAATAAATCCGGCAGCTTAAGGTGAAATAGATTCCTTAAAAGACACAACTTACCAAACTTACATACAAAAGTCTGAAAAGCTTACAGGCTAAATTATGTCCCTTCAAAATTCATATGCTGAAATTCTATCCTTAAGTAACTCCAAGGGTGACTGTATTTGGAGACAGAGCCTTTATGGAGATAATTAAGGTAAAACAGGTCACATGGGTGTGCCTTAATCCAGTATGACTGGTGTCCTTATAAGAAGATGAGGACATGGGCAACACAGACCAAAGGATGACCATGTGAAGACACAAGGGGAAGACAGCCATGTGCAAGCCTAGGAGAGAGGCCTCAGAAGAAACCAACCCTGCCAACACCTTGATCTTGAACTTCCAGCCTCCAGAACTGTGAGAAATACATTTCTGTTGTTTAGGCACCCCAGTCTGTGGTACTTTTCCAGAACTGTGAGAAAATAATTGTCCGTTGTTTAAGCCACTCACTCTGTGGTATTTTGCTATGGCAGCCCTGGCAAATTAATATGCCCTATACCATCAAAGAAATTGAATTCACAATTTGTAAACTTCCCATAAATTAATTTCAGACCCAGGTGGCTTCTCTAGGAAAGTCTATGGAATACCTAAGTAAGAAATAATGTTAATGGTACACACACTCTTCCAGGAAAGAAAGAGGAAAAGGGAGTACTTCCCAACTTCTTTTTTATGAGGCCAGTATAAGCAACTGACACCAAAATCAGATAAGGACATTAAAAGAAAAGAAATCCACAAGCCAACACTCATGAATATAGATATAAAATCCTTAATGAAATGTTAGCAAATCAAATATAGTAATATATAAAAAGGATGATTGTTTGTGACCAAGTGAGTTTGTGACAAAAATGGAAATTTGGTTTAACATACAAAAACCCATCAATGTAATTCATCCTATTAACAGAATAAAGGAGAAAACAATTCAATCATCTCAATAGGTGCAATAAAGCATTTCATAAAATTAAATACTCTTTCATAATTAAAATCTTCAGAATAAAAGAAAAGAAAATTTCCGTCACCAGAAAAAGGCATGTATAGAAAACTTACAGGTCATGTCCTGGTAATGATAAAAAACTGAATGCTGCACCCCTAACACCAGGAACAAGACAGGCATGTCCATTCTCACAATTTCTAGTCAATACTGTACTGGAGGTCTTTGCCAGTGAAACAAGGCAAGAAAGAGATTAAAAGCATGCAGACTAGAGAGGAAGAAACATTGTTTTTATTTACAGATATGAATCCTAACAAGCTACAAGGTCAACATTTATATACTACCAGCTGACCATTTAAAAATGCCATTTGTAGGTCGGGCATGGTAGCTCATGTCTGTAATCCCAGCACTTTGGGAGGCCAAGGCAGGAAGATCACCTGAGGTCAGGAGTTCGAGACCAGCCTGACCAACATGGGGAAACCCTGTCTCTACTAAAAATACAAAATTAGCCAGGGTGGGTAGGGGTGGTACATGCCTGTAATCCCAGCTATTCAGAAGGCTATGGCAGGAGAATCGCTTAAACCTGGAAGGTGGAGGTTGTGGTGAGCCAAGATTGTACCACTGCCCTCTAGCCTGGGCAACAAGAGGGAAACACCATCTCAAAAAAAAAAAAAAAAAAAATATATATATATATATATATGTATATAATTCATATTAGTTTTAAAAACATGAAATATACTTAGCAAAACATGTGAAAGAGCTCTAGAGCCCAATGATAAAACATTGCTGAGAGAAACTAAGGAATGCCCAAATAAATGGAAAAACATATGAGATTCATATGTTGGAAAAATCAATATTGTTAAAAAATCGGCTCTTCCAAACTGACTATGAAAAAAAGACAGTTCCAGCCAGAATTCCAGCAGACTTTTGTTTCTAGAAATTAAAAAGCTATTTTTAAAAGTTATAATAGAAAAAAATGAAAAAAAGAGAGAAAAGTTATATAGAAATACAAAGAATCTAAACAAAATTAGAATTTTAAAATTAAAATTCTACCTGATCTAAGACTTACCACAGAGCTCCAGTAATCAAAACAATGTGGTACTGGGGAAAGGACAGACAAATAGTCTATGGGACAGAATGAAGAGCACAGAAATAGACCCACAGTTAAATGGTCTTTCATCAAAGGCTCCAAAGCAATTCAATGGAGAAAGGGAAGTCTTTTGGATAAGTGGTACTGTATATCCATATGGGAAAAAAAAGAACTGCATAGTGAAGCATGTATGTTCTATACAATCCATAACACATGTGATGAGGGGGAAAATAAAGTGTCTGCAGATCTAGGATGCGGCTGTGGAGTGCTTAGCCTTGGAACTGCAATGTGAGAAGCCGGGTTGTATGTTGGATTTGACATAGATGCAGATGCACTGGGAATATTTAATAGGATTGTGGAAGAGTCTGAATTCACACATGTTGGCATGGTTCAGTGTGATGTGTGCTCATTATCTAATGGAATGTCCAAGCAATTTTGAATCCTCCTTTTGGGACCAAAAATAATAAAGGGACAGACATGGCTTTTCTAAAGACTGCTTTGGAAATGGCAAGAACAGCAGTGTATTCTTTATCCAAACCTTCAACTAGAGAACATGTTCAAAGAAAGCTGCAGAATGGAAAATCAAGACAGATGTTATTGCAGAGCTTCAAGGTGATTTGCCGACATCACACAACCTTCAGGAAAAGAAATCAATGGACAGTGAAAGGGACCTAAGTCAGTTTTCTTTTCAAAAGCCTCCAAAAGCAAAAGCGGCTTAAAATCTAATTAAAATGAATGAGAATTAAGTTGTTTATTAAAAATATTAATTAAAGGCAGATTATAGACTTAAACATAAAAGGTAAAAGTATACAACTTCAGGAAGGAAACAAAGGGATACTTTCATGACCTTTGGGTTAGCAAAGATTTCTTAAAGCACACAGAAAGTATGAACCACAAAGTAAAATACTAATAAAATTGAACTTCACCAAATTTAAAACTACTGCTAACCCAAAGATACTACTAAAAAATACATAGGCAAGTCACAGATTGGAGGAAAATATTCACAATACATATATGTGAAAAAGGAATATGCTCAAGATATATAGAAGTCCCGTAATTCAAGAATAAAAATTCAAATGATCCAACAAAAAATGGTTGAGATTTAAACAAACACTTCAAAGAAAAGATACATCAATGGCCAATAAACACATGAAAATTGCTGTCCATCATTAGTCATCAGGGAGATGCAAATCAAAGCTATAAGATACCTCTATATATCCTAGAATGGCAAGAATGAGAAAGCCAGATGGCCCTAAAGGTCCTAAGGGTCTGAAACAACCAGGCCCTCACATATAGCTGATGGAAATACAAAATGGCATAATCATTTGGAAACTCCTTGGTAGTTTTTTAAAAAGTAAAAACCATCCCATGATCAAGCAATTTCACTCCTATTGGTCCAAGAGAAATTAAAATATATGTCAGCTGGGAGCAGTGGCTGATGCCTATAATCCCAGCACGTTGAGAGGCCAATACAGGAGGACTGCTTAAGGCTAGGAGTTCAAGATCAGCCTGGACAACACAGTGAGACACCATCCGTTAAAAAAAAAAAAATTAGCCAGGCATGGTGGCACGTGCCTGTAGACCTAGCAACTAGGGAAGCTAAGGTAGGAGGATCATTTGAACCAAAGAGTTAGAAGCTGCAGTGAGCCATGATATCACCACTGCACTCCAGCCTAGGCGACAGAGGGAAACCATTTCTAAATATATCTTTATAAAAAGCTTTCTACAAAGACTCTTCACAATGTTTTCATCACAATAGTCCAAACTGCAAAGAGCCTAGGTATCTATCCACAGGAAAATGAATAAACTGCTGCATTAATAAAATCGACTGATGCATATGACATGGATGATTCCTAAAAACATCAATCTGAATAAAAGAAGCCAGATACAAGGAATACATACTGCACAATTCCACTTATATGACATTTAGAGGCAAACCAGACAAAATGAGTCTATGGTGACAGAATCAGAATAGTGGTTGCTTGGGGCCAATGACTGGGAAAAAGCACAGAGAGCTTTCTGGACTCACATAAATGTCCTGTTACCTTTAAAGGAGTGTGGATTACATGAACATGGACATTGTCAAAGCTGACTGAACTGTACACCTAGGATCTGTGCATTTCACTACATGTATATTATACCTCAATACAAAACTAACCAATTAACAGTTAGATATTATGGACAACTTTATACCAACACATTTGAAAACTCAGAGGAAATGGACAAATTCCTAGAAAAAAATATAACTAATCAAAAGTAAATCAAGGATAAAATAAAAAGCCTTGTGCTCGCTTCGGCAGCACATATACTAAAATTGGAACGATACAGAGAAGATTAGCACGGCCCTGCACAAGGATGACATGCAAATTCATGAAGCGTTCCATATTTTAAAAAAAAGCCTTAAAAGTCCTTCGCCTATTAAAGAAATTCATCAGTGGTCAAATATGTCTCCATAGAAAATTCTAGGTGTAGATGGTTGCATCAGTGAATTCTATAAAACATACAAGGAACCAATTCTAATGTTACGTGAATTTTGCTAGAGAACAGAAAATGAGGAAACATACTCCAAGCTTCTTTCAGGAGCAAGAATACCCTGACACTCAAACCTAAAATTAAAATATTCAATATGTAAAAGAAAATTTATAAGCCAATGCAATATGATTCATGAATATAAATGCATAAATTCTAAATAACCAAGTCCAACATTACCAAGTTGGGTTTATACAAAGGATACAAAGTTGGTTGAACATTAGAAAATCAACGCAACTCAACAAATTAACAGATTAAAGAAAAAATTCATTATCTGCAGCTGCAAAACAAAAACAAACAAACAAAACACTGTTATAACTGAACATCCTTTTTTTTTTTTTTTTTTTTTTTTTGAGGCAGAGTCTCACTCTGTTGCCCAGGCTGGAGTGCAGTGGTGTGATCTTGGCTCACTGCAACCTCTGCCTTCCAAGTTTATGCAATTCTCTGCCTCAGCTTCCCGAGTAGCTGGGATTATAGGTGCCCGACATCACACCTGGCTAATTTTTTGTATTTTAAGTAGAGACGGGGTTTCACCATCTTGGCAGGCTGGTCTTGAACCCCTGATCTCGTGATCCACCTGCCTTGGCCTCCCAAAATGCTGGGATTATAGGCACGAGCAACTGTGACCGGCACATTCAATCATTTTTAAATATACAGAACAAAGTAAAGGAAAAGACACTTAAGAAACAAAAAATAGAAAAGGAGTTCCTTAACTTGATTAACAGTATGTAACAAAACCCTACAGAAAACACCGCTTTTTAGTGACACACCTTTCCTTTTGATATTGAAAATAAGACAAGAGTGTCTGCTATTGTCATTTCTTGTCAAGACTATACTGAAGGTCCTAACTAATGCATTTATACAAGAAAAAAGGGGAAAACCAGTAAAAAGGAAGAAACAAACTGTTATTATTCACAAATAAATAAATGTGTACACAGGAAATCTGAAATAATCTAAGGATAAATTTTTCAGTAAGAGTTTAGCAAGATTACTGAACACTAAACCAAAACTCAAAAATAAGCAGCATTTTTATATACCAGAAAGATAATATTTAAAAAAAAAACAAAAACATTTGTAACTACATATAAATTACATAAGTACCTAGTAATAAATCTAAATCTAACAGATGTTCTTGATCCCTAAGGAGAAATGTATTAACTGTTCCAAGAATCATTGAAGAAAATGTAAATTAATGACTAGATATACCATGTTCATGGGTTGGAAGACTGAACATTGAAAAAGTCAAGTGTTTCCAAATTTTCCTATGTATCCAATCCAGTCCTAATCAAAATCTCAACAAGGTTGATTTTGGGGTTTTGATTTTGTTACATGTTTTTTGGGTTTGTGGATGCTCTCTAGGTTGTATTTTTGTTAACTGAAAAAATATCTACATAAAGAGTATATAAAACATAAATGGTCCGGGCATGGTGGCTCATACCTGTAACCTCAGCACTTTGGGAGGCCAAGGTGGGCGGATCACCTGAGGTCTGGAGTTCAAGACCAGCCTCACCAACATGGGCAAACCCCATCTCTACCAAAAATACAAAATTATCCAGGTATGGTGGTGCATGCCTGTAACTCCAGCTACTTAGGAGGCTGAGGCAGGGGAATTATTGAACCTGGGGGGTGGAGGTTGCAGCGAGCTGAGATGGCACCATTATACTCTAGCCTGGGCAACAAGAGCAAAACTCTGTCTCAAAAGAAAAAAAAAAAAATAAATGTATAGTTTTTGTCAAAACTATAAACTAATTAAAAAGAATTGTTGGCCTCTAAAGTATTCCATGGGTTAACATTGTTTGGAGATTTTGTACTGTTTGTTTTTGAGAAAGAAAAATAGCTTTGCTATTGTTTTTCATTATAAAATATATTCAATATTTATTGCGAAAAAATTCAAATTAAGAAATGTATAAAATAACTAATTCTCCAAAAGTAAGCACTAATAACGCCTGGATATATGTGCTTCCAAATTTTACATACAATTGCAAACACATATATTTTACCATGGTAATCCTCATGCATTACTGAAAACTCAAACATCAGCAGCCAAACTATCTTCCATAATAACACTCTTACAAAGAATAAAAAAAAGTTAATCTGGTATAATCTACCTGTAAGTTTCATTTCTGTTAATTTATGAGTGTGTTCAATAACTTAATAAAATAAAAACTCACTGTGTTATAGACTTCTTCAATTGTTTCTGTTCCTTCAGTGGATTTAGCCAATACTTTCAGCTTTCCAGGTGAACCTTTCTCCAACTGTTGAACCTAGTAAGAATAAAGAGTGTAACGATGCTATCTAAATATGATAAAAAAAGAAATACATAAAAGGGTGTACACTGGTATGTTCATATACACTTGTGTGTGTGGTGGTGGTATATACAATATGTGTTAGTATAGTTAAGGTTTCTGGACAAGGCAGAAATAGAGAAAAGTGGACTGTCACAGATGCATTTTGGAGGTAGAAATGAATTAATGAATTAATTGAGATTGGAGGGAGAAAAAAAAGAGAAATTAAGGGGTGTTCCTCAATACTGGCTTAATACATTGTGTTAAGTACCATTTACCAAGTACTGAGATGGACCAGAAAGATTAGCAGGAGAATATATTTAGGTAAAAAATCTAGAGTTTCATTTTTCTCTTGTTAAGTTTGAAATGCTTATGAGAGATCCAAGTGGCAATTTCCAGTAGACAGAAGTATAAATGAATGTGCAATTCAGGAGAGACTCTTAAACAGGAGATATAAATCTGAGAATCATTAGCATTTAGATGATGCTTTAAACTATGGGCCTAGAGAAGATCATCCAGGTAATACAAGTGCACAGAAGTGAAGAGGGGCCTGGGGGAAAACAAATGGGTGCTGGCGTCTATAGGTTGAGTAGATATAGATGAGAAAACTATAGACTGTGGGGCCACATAAGCCAGAAAGGAGGGTGCTTCAAACAGAAGGCCAGTTTCATCACATGCTGTCAAGAGGCCCAGTAAGATAAGGACAGAGACAGTACCACTGGATTTGATGACAGGAAATTTGTTAAAAACCTACAATCAGTTTCAAAGAAGTAGTGGAGATGGAAAAGCTGACAGGTAAATGTGAAATGGAGGCAAGAAATTAGAAGCAGCATGCAGAGTTTTTTTTTGTTGTTGTTTTGTTTTTGCTTTTTTATAAAGGAGAAAAGAAAAATAGGGACCCAGCCATAATGGCAGTGAGGGTAAGAGAAGTCTTAATTGTTCAAGATAAGAAACAGTGATATGAATAAGGAAAAAGAAGACAACTAACTGAAGATGGGACATCCTTGAAAAGGTGAAACAAAGCAGGAGATTAGGGGACTCGGCCTCTGAAAAGAGCAAGGACACTTCCTATATCAGAAGACGGGACGGGGGGCAAACGGGGGTGGCTCTGTAGACTTGGGAGTAGAAACACTGTTTTAACATTATTTGAATACAGACTAATTTATGTAATGAAATGAAGTAAGGTGGGATAAAGTGAAAACTCAGAGAAAAGAAGCTGCAAATGCCATGCAGCCTTACCATCACAGGTATGAATTTCCATAGGAACCTCACACCATGCTGCTCCATATAGGAACCCACTTTCTCTGCCATTTCTTGGTCAAAGCCACGGAGAAGGATTGAGCGTACCATAACTGTGACATCTAGGCCAAAGCCAGCCAGAAACCCTGCACACTCCAGGGCGACGTAAGAGGCACCCACCACTAACGTTTTGCCAGGGCAATAAGGCAGAGAAAAAAGGTCATCACTGAAAAAGAAAAATTAAAAAAGAGAATACCTAGGCAGTAAGAATGAAATGAATTATTCATGTTTCAATGTATAATGGTTTTGTAAAGACTGAATTATAATTTAATTTAGTGTGTGAATGAAGCAACAACCTTTTGAAATTTGTAATTAAGTTTGCTGTGGAGTGGAACAATTAGTATACTTCAGTTTTTTCAAAATCAGATCACAAGCAAAGTTTTTAAAAAAATAAAATAGTATAGAAAATATCAGACTAGATTATATGTGATGAGAAAAAATCTGTTTGTTTTGGAGGTATATGTATGTGCTATGTGAAGGGGTGTGTGTTTGTTTACCTGGACAAAACAATGTATTTAATTAATGTGAGTCAGCTCAAAAAAGTTTGCAAGTCATTGCACATATGTCCTCTGTTTGACCACCAAGAAGAATTCTCATTAAATCTCAGTGTTAAGAAGAGCAGTATTTTTATCATAAGGATACTAAATCCTAGAGCTAATTGTATTTACTCCTTTGCTTTGGCCTGCAAGAAGTTTAGAACCAAGCTCCAAGGCTACTTCTAGCAATCACCGAGACACATATGCCATATTTTTGCAAATTAATTTTGCCAGTGACCTTATTTACCTGACTTTATATTCTGTTTCATTGCCTTTAACTGTTTAGCTTCTTGCATTGCATATATTTTCATTTGTCTATTCGAATCTTTTGTAGAATAAGACAGGAAGTAAATAAACTGGAAACATGTCAGTATGATGCAATTTATTAACATTAAAGTTAAAATGGTCTATTTAACCTTACCTGGTAATACAGTATTCTTTATCTCCTTGGATTCCTAAATACCGCGGCCTTTCACCCGTTGCTATGACAAACTGTGCAGCAGTATAATAAGTTTCCTGTCCTTTTTTATTGGTTGCCTTGAAAAAAAAACCAGGTAAACCTCACTTACTCAACAAACACTACAGAGTACCAGACACCATGGACAAAACAGTTACTACCCTCATGGAGCTTCCCATACAACAGGAACAGCAGACATGCAAAAAAGTAATAATGCAATATGATAAGCACAAGCACAGAAAATAGAAATCTTTATGAAATATTAATCAAAGCCCTCTGGTGAGGGTAGAGTAGTGGACTAGAAAGACAATCAAGGACAGATTAAAGAAGGAGTGGAGATTTTCAAATGGAGAGGAGAAAAGTGAAATGATGGGAGAGGAACAGAGACCTGGAAGACAGAACAATGTTCAGAAAAGCACACAGGCCCGGAAGGAGTTGGTGTGTGAAGACTGGAGAGCAGGGTTGTGTCAGAAGTGACATGAAACAGATAGACTAGAGCCAAGTGTGAAGGCCCTTATGTCATCCTAACAACTTAGGCTATGGGGAACCAACAAAGGCTGTTCACAATTTGTAATTATAAAAATAATTCAAAAATATATTTTCATTTAAAAACATTCAAATTCAAGGAGAACTACAAACCACTGCTCAATGAAATAAGAGAGGACACAAACAGATGGAGAAATATTCCATGTTCATGGTTAGGAAGAATCAATATTGTGAAAATGGCCATACTGCCCAAAGTAATTTACAGATTCAACGCTATCCCCATCAAGCTTCCAATGACCTTCTTCACAGAACTGGAAAAAAACCACCTTAAACTTCTTATGGAACCAAAAGAGAGCCCACATAACCAAGTCAATTCTAAGCAAAAAAAAAAAAACAAAGAGGGAAGAATCACACTACCGGACTTCAAACTATACTACAAGGCTACAGTAATCAAAACAGCATGGTACTGGTACCAAAACAGAGATATAGACCAGTGGAACAGAACAGAGCCCTCGGAGGCAACCCAACACATCTACAACCATCCGATCTTTGACAAAACTGACAAAAACAAGCAATGGGGAAAGGAGTCCCTGTTTAATAAATGGTGTTGGGAAAACTGGCTAGCCATGTGCAGAAAGCAGAAACTGGACCCATTTCCGACACCTTACACTAAAATTAACTCCAGATGGATTAAAGACTTAAACGTAAGACCTAACACCATAAAAACCCTAGAAGAAAATCTAGGCAAAACCATTCAGGACACAGGCGTAGGCAAGGACTTCATGACCAAAACACCAAAAGCATCAGCAACAAAAGCCGAAATAGACAAATGGGACCTAATCAAACTCCACAGCTTCTGCACAGCAAAAGAAACAGTCACTAGAGTGAATTGGCAACCAACAGAATGGGAACAAATTTTTGCAATCTACCCATCTGACAAAGGGCTGATATCCAGAATCTACAAAGAACTAAAACAGATTTACAAGAAAAAGGCTGGGCGCAGTGGCTCAACCCTGTAATCTCAGCACTTTGGGAGGCCAAGGCGGGTGGATCACAAGGTCAAGAGATCGAGACCATCCTGGTCAACATGGTGAAACCCCGTCTCTACTAAAAATACAAAACATTAGCTGGGCAAGGTGGTGCGTGCCTGTAATCCCAGCTACTCAGGAGGCTGAGGCAGGAGAATTGCCTGAACCCAGGAGGTGGAGGTTGCGGTGAGCTGAGATCGCGCCATTGCACTCCAGCCTGGGTAACAAGAGCGAAACTCCGTCTCAAACAAACAAACAAACAAACAAACAAAAACAAGCCTATTCAAAAGTGGGCAAAGGACATGAACAGACACTCTACAAAAGAAGACATACATGAGGCCAACAAACATATGAAAAAAATGCTCCTCATCACTGGTCATTAGAGAAATGCAAATCAAAACTACATTGAGATACCACCTCACACCAGTTAGAATGTCAATCATTAGAAAATCTGGAGACAACAGATGCTGAAGAGAATGTGGAGAAATAGGAACACTTTTACACTGTTGGTGGGAGTGTAAATTAGTTCAACCATTGTGGAAGACAGTGTGGCGATTCCTCAAGGACCTAGACATAGAAATTCCATTTGACCCAGCAATCCCATTACTGGGTATATATCCAAAGGATTATAAATCATTCTACTATAAGGACACATGCACACGAAAGTTCATTGCAGCATTGTTTACAATAGCAAAGACCTGGAACCAACCCAAATGCCCATCGATGATAGACTGGACAGGGAAAATGTGGCACATATACACCATGGAATACTATGCAGCCATCAAAAACGATGAGTTCATGTCCTTTGTAGGGACATGGATGAACCTGGAAACCATCATTCTGAGCAAACTGACACAAGAACAGAAAATCAAACACCGCATGTTCTCACTCATAGGTGGGTGTTGAACAATGAGAACACATGGACACAGGGAGGGGAGCATCACACACTGGGGTCTGTAGGGGGGAAATAGGGGAGGGACAGGGGGGGTGGGAAGTTGGGGAAAGATAGCATGGGGAGAAATGCCAGATATAGGTGATGGGGAGGAAGGCAGCACATCATACTGCCATGTGTGTACCCTATGCAACAATCTTGCATGTCTTTCACATGTACCCCAAAACCTAAAATGCAATAAAAAAAACTGAGGAGAAAAAAAATACATTATGAGCATATTCCCATGTCATGAAGTATCTTTTTATAATATTTTTATTGCTATACTGGGTTCAATGATAAGTGTGAGCACAGTATGTTTAATAAACACCAATTGTTGGGAAAAAAATATTCAAATACTAATGAAGATGTTTAAACAAGTGGGTTGGTACCATGAGTGGGATATAGAACAGAGCCTGGAGAAAGAGCCTTGCTTAGAAGGGCTCTGAAAAAGACAAGCAAGTACAGGCTGTGGAGTGAAAGGGAGACTCTGGAGTTTCTAGCCTGAGGGACTGGGAATGTGCTAGCATCACTAAACAAAGAGCCACACAAGAGGCAGGTATGGCTGGGGCTTATTCAACCATCTGTGCCAGGAAATTTGAGAAATAAAACACGTATTTCTACTCTGTTTCACGTAAATAACATAATTCAAATTGGCCCATGTAAGGTTTTAAAGGGCTGGCTTTATCTTATTATTTTTTAGGAGTGAAATGTATCTTTGACTTTAAAACACATCATCCAAAATATAGATTATATGGCAAATGATAACAATTATTAAAGCTAGGAATTGAATATTTGGCTATTTACTATGTTATGTTCCCAAATATTTCCTGTTCAAATAAAAATATTTAAATAAAATGTTGAAAATAAACCTTGAAGGGCAGCTTTAAATGGACCATACCTCACACGGTTCTGAAAAAACAACTGAATACAAAATAATCTAAAATCTTGTCAAGATTATCTCACACTGTGCTAACAAAGTACAAAAATAAACTAGATGATGAGGACAATATTTGATTGTCTGTCATAATTCCAACTTAACTGTTTGTGCTCCTCAAAATGATCTCATTTTCCTTATATATTAATCTAATAATATATAAATACTACAAAGATAAACTTACAAAACACACTAATTCTAATACTACTTTTATCAATGCTTTTATGAATAATATATATTGGAGTTCTAGTTAAGGTTTCATTTTTAGAAAGCATTCCACTAATAAAATTTTGATCTTTTTAGTCTTTTAAATTTTGAATTGCTTAGTCTAAACATGTTCTCTTTTAATATGGCCATAAAATAAAAGGCAAATAACTTTAAACTAAGGGTTCTTTAAAACTCAATTTCTTCAAGGTAACCAAACATATAGAATCAACAAACAATGGGAGAAAAACACATGTACATGCATGACTCTGTGTGTGTGTGTGCGTGTGCGTGCACGCACGCATGCAGACGCATGCCTGTTATGCTCCTTAGCAAGCAGCATGAAATTTTAGTCCAAGGCAAGTACAAACAACTGTAAGGAAAGGAAATGAACAAGACAAGAAACTCAAACGGTACCTTTATTTTGTGATGTTCAACAAATTCTCCATAGGAATTGACATAGGCCACAGCCTTTTCCCTCAAAGACAACCCGTAGCCAAAGTTTAGAGAGCGGATGTGGTTCTGAATCGCTTTTGTCATCGTCTCCCAGTTGTGCGTCACTAAGAAGAAACAACCAGGGTAAAAATGTTAAGTGAATTCTACCTTTAATGGTAAATTGTATGTAACCAGACATGAGCCATACTAACAGTGTTTTAAAAATCATGAAGTAGACAGAAGATAATTAACAATTTAAATAAAATTAAATAAAATAGAACGACTATTCGGGTTGTAAAATTTTAGGAGACTGTGGTACACTGGCATCATAGAAAGGGTCATGTGTGCTGACATTGGCTAAACCTCTCTGTGCACT